ACTGTTTTCTGAGTTAAGGTGACAAATACAATAGCTCAGCTGCTACTAGTTTCAATTCTCAAAAAGTATTTGTATAAATGGCAAAGAGTTAGCAGATTTGGACAGAAAACATGTCCAGATTTTGAAAGACAATACGCAGCGGCAACAACCGTCTCTGACAGAGAGATATATACCGCAGGACCATTAAGCAGACTGACGTAATGGCATCACTAGTAATTCTTTTTAATCATATTTTTTTTTCCTGGGCTTTTTAAGTTATGTATGCAACAACTTGCTAAACAGATCCCATTTTTACATATGTATCTATATGTATGAACAGAATTTATCATACGTCTATGATTTAATTATGGTTAAATTAGAATTAAAAAACGACACACCTGCGGTATGTCAGTTATAATACATGAAAACGCAGATAAACAGTATTCTGGAGTGAATTTTCAGCAGACTCTGAAATCTTAATTGCACCCACAAGGTTTCAGAGTGCTTCTGCTTGCAGCATGAAAAATGAATGTACTCATAGAGTTTGAGGCCTCAGTTAAGGAGGCCAGCTGAAAACCTCTCCATTTTGGGTCTGGTTAGGGAAATAAGAGACTAAGTTCCAAATGGAGAACCATAATTCATAACTGCTGTCTTTTCCATATTTCTACACACAGCATAAGTGAATAAACTGTTAGCATATGCCAATTCTTACCACAAAATAATTTTTAAAAAATCCTATTTTGAAGTATAGGAAAGTAAGTGCAGCGCACATGGAAGTCCTACATAATTGTGAATTGCTGCTACCAATTCTGAAAATTCTAAGCAGTAGCTGTTGGCAAACACTATTTCATATCTTTGAAGTAATTCAAGATTTTTCAGGGTAATTTCATTTTTTTTTTCACCGAACACTGAGAACATTAAATTGGTGTCTTACTGTTGGGCTGAAGATAACTTTAATTCAAACCAAGTGGCACTATGCACCACTCGAAACTAAAGATGCACATAAAATTTAATCTATGACTTTATTGCTCACTTCTGCCTCTGTTTTGCTCATGGCATGTTTTTATGCTGAGGACCAGGCAAATGGCACGACAACATGACTGTAAATACAACAGGTACCTATTCTGGAAATTTTAGAACTGAACCCTCAGTGCTGTCCTCCAGTTAAACGATGCAGGTTTTAGTCAAAGATATGATGTTTAACCTGGGAAATAAACACCAAAGTATCACAAACACAAACCACACTTCTACACAAATACCAAATCCTACAGACCCTGACCTATCAAACACCGACTGAATGTAAATGCTACGTTGCATACAATCACAGGAAGGCAGTCATCTTGCCTATAAAGTGGATTCATACCAACCATAATTCCTCACACTGTGCCCACTCAATGAAGAGAAGATTCAATTCAGTGTTTTGGAGTTCCAAAATCCTAATGAAAGATTGGTTGGTCTGCTTCTTCCAACTGCACAAAAATCAGCTAATGCCAAATCCATCTTAGCCCAGAACATTATTATAAACAGATCATTTATTTGATTTTCCATAACAGAGACATTCAATCAGCTGCCTGAGCTGGAAACCAGCAGAGGGGAAAGACTAGATACAGACAAGAGAAGCCACTTGACAAACCTAGCATTTAGACCCCTGTTCCTACTCTCATCCTAACCCTAGCACTGTCTTCACATGGAAGGAAGGTGGGGGACATTCACTCCTGGTGGAGAAATCCAATGGGGAATGCATCTGCTGACAACAAGCCAGGAATACTAAAAGGCATCCAGAAATCAATGTAAAAAAAATGAAAATAAAAAATTAATCCCAGAAACAACAGGATTGCTTTTCAAACTACCAGAGAGCTCACAACTAGTCGCCATTCCTGTAGCACAATGAGCTGGCTTTCTCTAGAGAGCCTGTTCTGTACATCCTTCAGCCCTACCTTTCACCAGGTCAGACCCCCACTTTGTGCATCAGTGACATTGCTGCAGCGTCCCCTCAACAGACAGAGGCAGATCAGGCATTCAGCAGCAATACCGCCTCGTTCTGTCTTCTCCCAGAGACAACTCCAGGAGCTCCGAGGCAGTTACTGCATTTAGCTTATTCTGCCCACGGAACCTTGGTAATGGTGAGAGCACTGCTCTGCTCGTAAGGAAAGTTTATATTCTGCTGCAATCACAGAATTGAATATCTAAAATAATCTGCAAAACCCTTCTCCCCCAAAGCCTTATTTGAAACTGCCTGGATAAAAAAAGCCTCAGAAAGAGAACCAGCTGTATGGACTCAAGAGTATAGATAATGCAAACCAAAAAACCCTTTTGTTCTGTGAGGATGAAGGATTTTCTAGAATATATTTATAGGAATACGGCATAATTTACCAGGGTTTATGCACTCTGAGCCCAAATTTTATCCGTGGAAAAGGCTGCAACACCTAACAAATCCAAACAGGAATAAAAGATTCCTACCAAATCTCTCTGAAGCATGATAGCTTGAACATGAATCATCTGATTTTTATTTTCACACAAGGAAGCCTTCTTAGCTCTTAAGTACAACTCCAGCTTGTATTAAATGTTTCTTTCCAGAGTAACTCTTTCCTCCCGTTTATTATTTATGTTTTTCTCAATGCTCCCTCTGTTGCATCATTTGTTTTCTGTATCCAACCAGCCCCTGTTAGATTCCTGTGGAGCAGAGATGACATCTCTGCATTCATCACGTGGTTTTCAGAATCTCTCAGATTCTCAAGCACATTCAAGAAGGCCTTTTTTTTCCCCTCTACAATTTATGTGATCAAGGCAGGAGATTTACAATCTCCGCAACATTTCCTCTGCTCCCTGCAATCCCACCACCACCACCTTACCCAGCTGCAATAGGTTGGACGTTTTAACTCAATGAAATGTAGGGATTCTTTTTCTGGAGTAATTCCATTTTGGTTCTCCCATCCAGGAAGAGATCCGTGAAACAGTCCTCGAAGACTCTCTGCTGATAGCTATCAACCAGGGAAGAACAGGCTCCCAGGTTGTGACCTGACTCTGAGTACACCTGTCCATCTGCTGTCAAAAAATAGTACCAACTCAGAACCCAACTGAGGATTTTGTCTAGATCTGACAAAACCCTCTGGACACTAGAGCAAAAGAAGTAAACAAAGAGACAAAAATAGTGTATGGCTGGAAAACACATGGGGCTAGCATTGTAGTTATAAGATGCTACTGCCCTATACTTGTTTTTCTGACCACACCCAGACGTAGTTAAATCACAAAAAATCAGAGCCAGAAAGATCTCGTAGGTCTCCCAGTCCATTCTCCTGCCACGGCAGATGACTGTAAGGTAACTGCTCTGTACGTGTCTCAGATAGAAGAGCCACTGCTACAGGCAGCATGGGGGGTCTGGTTTCCATCCAGCCTCAGACTTTAAACAAAATACAACTGGAAATTCAGTTTGGTCAAAACTCCGCAAGTCTGACAACAGATACAGACCTCAGACTTTCCTAAGATGCTTGCAGTAGTCCTGCCAGATGCACACACGCTTGAGCATGGATTCGAGACAGAAATATCTGAAGGCAAGGCAGAGGCTGCCTATTACTAACATGTTTCCAAATAAAATGAGAGTGAAACATTAGCAGAATGTGTCCATGACAATGCCACTGACAACGTAGCTTAACAGCCCTACGCTGGTAAAACAACGCATGCCTACAAAAGTAAAACAGGTTTTACTGAGTCTGTATCTTCTCATTTTCTAAGTTCTCTGGAAAAAAATGATTTAAGCACGTTCACTTCTAAGGATTTATAAACACACATACCAAAGGGTCTAGCTAGGATAACCATGATACGATCTGCAACACACAAAACAAGCTCCGGGCTGCGTTTGGAAGAAGGGTGGTTTTAACTTTTCACTGTACCATATACTTTTTAAAGAAATGTAGCATATTAAAAGCACGAAGAAGCTAAATTAACTCTTACAGTTCTTGTATTATGAAACCAAGTTAGTATTAAAGCAGCAATACTGCAAGAAGTTGTCTTTATATTTCAAGAAAGTTTTAATATATGAAGATGAGTTACCAAGGATCTTGGCAGGAGAGGAACTTGTATGAGGAGTCAGTTTTGACAATTCTTTGATTCTAAAAGACCTAGAAGTACTAAAATGTCATCTGTCTATCCATGTGAGGTTTAGATTTGGCAGTATTTCAGAAGTGAAAAAACCTCCCTTTTTATACTTTTTCCCTATGACAATATATTTTGAAAGCTGTCTAAGAGGCCATATTCTCCTGAGAAGCACAGTAAGATGGGTATGTGCTACAGCAATATTTACAGAAAGAAGCTAAGTTTGAACAGTCACAACAATCAGTGGGTCAAACTGTGGATAAAAGCACCAAGTGTGGAGTTTATTGTCAAGAGTTGGCACTAAAGATTTCAAATCTTTTCTTCAATTTAGTGATTCATTGTTCTGTTCAAGCCAAATTAAACAAACCATTTGGAAGGTAACCTGATTATTACTATGTAAATTTGTCTATTGTTAAGAGATGTCATCATCACCCCATTTTTTTTTTTTTTTTCACTTTAATTATGGACTATTGCAGATGCAGGTCTGGAAAATGGAGCTGTCTGGCTCATAGGGCTAGTTTTTCTAAAATGCTTTAAAAATAGAGAAAGAGAAGGTTAGAAAAGAAAGCAAGACAAGGAGTGCACTAATTGCTCATCCCTGACCTCTTCCAAACCACTGCAAAACTGATAAAAGTTGCCTGAGCTGGTTTTTATGCAGTTCAGCTTTGGCCTTTTTCAACAGCTACAGGGGTATCAATGCCGCCTTTAAAGCTGGGGCTTTAATAGAATAATAAGAGATGTGGAATTGCTTTTTTAAGATGAAAACAAATCATCTTTAATTTACATTAAACAAAAATCCTGTGAAAAGACTGTTCACTGACTGTAGTAGCTGATCAGTCCAACTACGGTGAATTCTGCCAACTGTGCTTAGCTGATAAAGACACTAAAAAACACAAGAAATTATTACATGTAATTTTCTGAGTACTTACATATTCTTGGACTTGAATGCTTCAGCAAAGCGCCGCACACTTTGAAGAGAAGCAAGGTCTAAGGTCATCGCTTCTACCTTGGCTTTATGCTGGAACAAGAGAAAATATAAAAAAAGATAAGTAACAGCAAGTTTAGTTCACAGTATAACGTTACAGTAAATGTGTTCTGAAAGTTGTCCCATTCCCCTTTTTAACTTTATAACCCCAAAGTGAACACAAATCATCAAAAAGAATGGATGAGCACAACATTTAGTGCCAAAAGCAGCACTGCAATTCTGTGGTTCTGCTAAAAACATACACTAGGAACGCACGGCTTACATAATGCAATGAATTGACTCAAGGTAGCGTTACGGTTAATATGCTCTTTGTGCTTCCATTTAGCTGGTGAAACTTCTGTGACTCATGAAATGAAAAAATAGACTAAGCTTTATTCTTAATGTGTGGTATTTCTTACATACTGTACCAATAAAAAAATTAGTAAGTGCTCTATAAAGAACAGCTAAGTTCAAACTTGCACATATTAACCCAAAACATTGTTGTTCATAGCAGGTGATACAGAAGACAGCATGAGTACAGAAAATAACCGATCAGCCTACACAGTTTTTCATACAATAGGAGTTTACCAATGCATAATATCTCCTAAAGAAATTACATATGTACTGAAACCCAACTTTGCACCGAGAAGAGGACATGCAATCCCACCAAGTGACAAGTCAACCTGAAGGTGCTCTCCTTAAGGCACCACCACCAGAACTCTTCCCAATACTTTCAACTTCAAGATCCCTGTTCTCAAGCCTTTTGAAACTTTCCACCTCAAATGTTTTGTTTTGTTTTTTTTTTTCTTTTAGCTTTGACACATAATCATAAACAGAAAAAGACAAATAAAACATTTGTTAAGAAATTCAAGAAACTGTATCTAAAATTACCTGAAAAAGGAAAAATCGAGATGGAAAAAAAGAATGGTTTTAGCAATTTTTTTCCATTGAGTAGCTCAGTAAAGGCAAATGGAAAAATAAAAGTTTCTTCAACTTTCTTCCTGCTTTGGAACTAGGGAGGAAATCCATTTACATTCCATGAGCTTAGTCAAGTGCCTCAACTTCTCTGTTCTAGATTCTCCCTTGTCAACTGAGCTTCAAGCCCCTCTCACTCGATGTAGACCATCAATTCCTACAATAGAATGTGAAATCCTAAGCCTTTAGTATCAACCATTTTCATTCCAAATTTTCCTACTCTTCTATCTTTAAATTTCTTTTAAAAAAGCTACAAATAAGGGAATATACTTGCAAGGTATGTTCTTAATAATGTAAGAACATATCCAATCTATGACAAGTAGAAGGTTTTTTGTTTGTTTTCTTACGGTAGCTCTGTATTACCTTTCTTAGAAGTTTTTTCCTCTTTCCCCATAAGCCTGGGTAGCACGTACTATGGTATTTATAGAAAAGGAAAACATATTTATAATGAAAACAAAACTAAAAAACATTTTTGCTAAAAGGCATCATAACAGTAACTGTAATCCGCAGTCAGAACTGATTGTTAATGGTATGCTGCAAATCCTGATCTAATGTGTCATAATTGTATTACGCTGATGTCTTTCACTATTGCACTTCACATATTTCAGTACAGAATTATGTCTCGTTCTGTGCTGTGAAACCTTAAATGGGACTTGTCACTTTCCCAAATCCAGAAGACAGTCATCATAAAATCAAGATGTTGAGGCAGAAAACTCCAGAATTTTTTAAATGTAATCAGCAAAAGGCATTAATGCTCCCTGTACTACCTCATTTTCAGCTACATGCTTTGAGGGGAAACTGAGTAACAGGGTGAGCGTAGGACAGCTGAAAGAGCTCACTTCTAAATCGCAGGATGATTACCGTGCGGCACTGTTGAGAGCCCCAAAACCAGCTGGTGCCCTCGCTGCCGAGCGCCGGGGCCAACGTCCTAACTCTGCCCAAAGCCACTCACTCTCCCAGCCAGAGGTGGAGCAGCTTTGGGAGCTGGCCAAAAGGAGAGCAGGCACAAGAGGGGACACACTCCTCCTGCCGCCTGAAAACAAGGTCTGCTCAAACAACTGCAACAGGGCTTTGGGGACAGGGAGTATTTGCATTTCACGAAGCCCAAGGAGAAGTTTGAGGCTAAAAATGTCCATGCACCAACAGCCTGTCTTTGAAAAGCAGCTGAAGGTAGGTCATTCTATGGTTCCTAACAAACTCTCTTTTAAACACAACACCATAACGTTTGAAAAGTGCAAAGAAATTTTTCTTGTATTGGGCAATTTTATGCCCAGTTGTAAAAGGATTTTATCAATATCCCCAGGTAAGTTTCATTACTCTAAATAACACCAGAAAACAGTTTGTTTAGTTTGGTATCTAAACTGCTCCCCATTGGAACAAAAATATTAAAAATGCTTAAGTGCAACAGTTATATTTGGCACTCATGCCAGAAAAATGCTTATTGAGCCAAAAACTAACAAAGTGAAAACATGCAGAAAGCAAGCAATTTCACTATATGCAATGTATTCACTTTACAGCTTAAAAACTGTTTAAAAATGAACACTGCATGGTAGAGTAGTTTGGCAGTAAACATGATTGTGAATTTGTGTCTTGGTATTGAAGAAGGAGCCTTTTTTCATAGTGAATTTTTCATTCAAATCTAAGTGATGATTTACGTTAAATATAGGTAAAGCATAGCTACATTTTCCTGAAGGATTGCAAGGAAGTGAAGAGCAGTACAATAAGTTGAAGCATAAAAGCTTTCTCTGTCATAATATTTATTATAATGGCATATAAAATAGCTGAAATAAATAATAGATGACTAAAAGTAAATTCATATGATAAAGAATCTTTCAGCAGACACCATTACTTCTGACTGCTCCAGTTTCATACAGAGTTGAAGAGTCTTAATAAATATGCTGTAGCCCCTGTATCTTAGGTAAGTGCAAGTCATTTGGTAAGAGCCTACTTAAAATGTAACACAGTGGACACCAGAAAATTGACTGAATAATTCTACTCTCAAAAAATATTCCGTGTATTACCTTCAGTATTTAAAAGCCCGTAACTCAAAACTGAATACGTAGTACAACAACAAAAACATCTTGCTTTGAGGGACAGAAAATAAAATAAATTGTTAAAAAGCAGTTTAATTTGATAAAGAAAGACCTTGATAACATCTTGGAATGCAAATATTTCTCATTGATAGTGTGAGAACCAGAACATTTTCAGGAAAAAAATAATTTGACGTCAAAGTTGAAGGAAAGTCTGTGGAGTTATTGTAAAAGAGGTGAAGTAACCAAATAACCAAACTCAGCATGTGACAAGCAACGCCCAAATAAACCCGTATTTCCGTGCTGAGGACAAGGCAGAGGGTGTTTTCGAAGCACGTCTGCCGATCTCACACATAGCCTGTGACAGCCAATAGCCAGTGCCACGCACTACTCACGGGGTGCATAACTGGGATAAAGGCTCTCACCTAGGATTAGCACTGGAAATAGCACGGTCCCTAACGTAGTCAACATTTGCTACTTCAGGCAAAGCTGGATTTATGGAATGCCAGCTCCACCGTGTTGCATGCTTTGAGTGCTGTGCAGCCACCTCTCACAGCACTGACTGGGACAGAGGAATCGCACCGCCTTAAGAGTAACCCAGTGTGCGTGCCAGGTGCCTTAGTGTTCTTCCACCGCGGTGTCTTCCCATGAACTTTATTCAGGTGGATCACACGTAGGGAACAATTTTACACTTTTTTCTAGTTTCAATCCCCTCCCATCAGCAATTTCTATACAGTACTTTCAAATTTTCCCTATTCAAATTTTAATGCACAATACAATTTCCTAAATATTAATTACTTTATTAACCTATATATGTGACATACAAGGAAATAACTGGGACCAATTCTCATTCTTCATGAAAATCAGAAATGAAAAGGTTTTTCTTTCTTTTGTTATACAGACAATTTATTTAGCAATACTTGGTTTCACTAGTTCCCAACATACTTGTTTTACCTGTATTTTGGTTGGAATTTACTGATGTAAATCCTTCCACTGTTCACCTTGGTCAACCCTGTCAAATGTTTTCATGCTGCACATGAGCTCTCCCAAGCCCTGATTTTGTAAAGCCTGGTTCTTCCCACTTAAGGAACTAGATCTCCATGTTCTTCACAACAACAGAATTCCTGCAGGGGCTGCTGTCATCCAAGCCCAGAGAAGAGCACACATATGGCGACCTAACCAGTCAGTACGAGCTGCCAAGTTGCCAGGACTACCCATCACCCTTGGACCTACATTTTATCATCCAGAATGGATTGTTGTTAGTATTATTATTATTTTCCTTGTCTCTATCCCTTCTCCAGAACATTTACGGATGTTTGGCAGAGAAAAGCGTTTCTCTTTTTGGCACCATCTGCAACTCAGAGTGGGAAGAGGCCTCTTCAGAAAAGCCTGAAGCCCTCAAGCTGTAGGACTGTACTGCAAATGAAAGTCTTAAAGTTGGAACGGCAGTTCCCCACACGACAGTCTAGAACAAACGCCTGAACTGGAGATTTAACTGCTGAGCTCAACGGCCTCACAGAAGCAGCAGAGAAGCCTGGACCCTCCTTTAGCTAGAGATTAAAAATACAGGCAATAAATGAGCCACTAAAATTCTGAAGATGAGAGACATGGAAGAACGATAGACGAGCCAGAGTGGGAGAGTCCCATTTCTGAGGATGCCAAGCACCAACCCACCACTTGGTCCTCACATTTAAACACATCCCTATTCACAGCAGTATTTTTCCTTCTTCCAAATACTTCATCTACCTGCAATTTCAAATCTCTGTCACAGATACAACGTGATGAAAGTCACTTGGTCATGAAAGGGTTTTCTTGGTCACACAACAGTCTTTTTAAATTCCCCAATAAAGTTAAAACTGCATCTCTTTCTATGAGCAAGTGTCTACACATGGAAAGAAATGCGAAATACAGTTATTCAACTCTCTGTGGTTGCTTAATTTTTCAGATTTTAATATATTTTTTTAATAAATCTTCTGCAATAAATACCACTACACTAAGCCATAATGTTATTTCAACAATCTTTACATTAGTTAGGTCTTAGATCAGTATCTCTGT